TTAGCTGTGGAGGGCAGTAGTGTCACTGGCCCTCATATATGGGATCTGAACCGGGGCCCTCTGGCGTCCCAAGCCAGTTCTTAACCATCGCGCCACTCGGCCGGCCCGCAAGTGGTAGTTTTTTAAAGGTTAGTCTGCTGTGGAATCTGAAACCATGTCAATGAACTTTATGCTCTTATATATTATGAGAACTATGAACTTATACATTAAAATCATTGGTATATCTTGTACTTTGGACATTTTACTCACGCATGATATTGTAAAATCATACATATGGTCACTTGGAAAGCCTTGTTTCATTGAGTTATGCAGCTCTTAATGCAGAGGCTCTTGGGCCGGCCAAGTGGTGTGTTGGTTAAGAGCTGGCTTGGGACGCCAGAGGGCCCCGGTTCGGATCCCACGTATGAGGGCCAGTGACACTGCCTTCTATAGCTAAGATGCTGAACAACAGCTCAACCTGGAGCTGGGCTGCCGTGAGTCACCGGTGACGGCATAGGCTGCAGCCCCTGCTGCAGTGGGTTGCCATGGGCTACCTTGTGTAGCCAGCAGCCAGCGTGAGCAGCCGTCCAGAAGCCAGCGACTGATCTGCCTCGCCCGGGAAGAGCTCAATGATGGTGCCAGCTTGGGCCATTGAAGCAACGTCCTCCACAACTAGACTGAAGAACGAAAGGACAGCAACTTGCCTGTTGCCCTTCCCCCAATTCCCCAGCGCTGTTCCCATCCCCCAATTCCCTAATAAAAATCTTTTAAAAATAAAATAAATACATAAATGCAGAGGCTCTTAAATGTTGGGAAGCTGCCAAGCTCACAGTGGCAGATAACAAGTTTTCCAAAATTCTAATTTTCTCTTGAAAACTCAAATTTTATCTTTGGCAACAAACATTGTCTATTGTTTTCTTGAAGGAAAGGCTCATTCCTTTCATTCTGGGGGAAAATATCTGCCAAATGTGCCAGTTTGAATAACCATAGTTTGATGTTCTTTCAAGTAAAATGGTGCTTTGTTTATTTAAAAAAAAAAAAGACAAAAACAAAGATGCTCAACATTTTATCAGGGAATTACAAATTAAAACAACAATGAGATACCTGTTAGAGTAGTTGAAATCCAAAGCACTGACAACAACAAATGCTAGTAAGGATGTGGAGCAACAGAAACTCTCCTTCATTGCTGGTGGGAATGCAAAATGGTACAGACACTTTGGAAGACAGTTGGCAGTTTCTTATAAAGCTAAACATACTCTTACCATACAAGGTCTGACAATTAAGTTGGCAAACTTTGTTGCAACGATGTTGCTAACCATTTTTGATATCAGAGGGATTATTTATTATGAGTTTTTGCTAACTGGACAGACAGTTAACCAAGTTTACTATTATATTTAGAAGTGCTGGAAAGGCTGCGTGAAAAAGTTAGACGAGCTGAACTTTCACTAACAATTCATGGCTCTTGCATCATGACGATGCACCAGCTCACACGACATTGTCTGTGAGGGAGTTTTTAGCCAGTAAACAAATAACTATATTGGAACACCCTCCCTACTCACCTGATCTGGCCCCCAATGACTTCTTTCTTTACCTGAAGTTAAAGGAAATATTGAAAGGAAGACATTTTGATGACATTCAGGACATCAAGGGTAATACAATGATAGCTCTGATGGCCATTCCAGAAAAAGAGTTCCAAAATTGCTTTGAAGGGTGGACTAGACGCTGTCGTCGGTGCATAGCTTCCCAAGGGGAGTACTTCAAAGGTGACTGCAGTGATATTCAGTAATGAGGTTTGTAGCACTTTTTCTAGGATGAGTTGGAGAACTTCATTGTCCGACCTCATATGATCCAACAACTGTGCTCCTTGGTATTTACCCAAATGAGTTGAAAATGTATGCCTATACAAAACCACACAAATATATAGAAGCATTATTCACAATTGCCCAAACTTGGAAGCAACCAAGATGTCCATCAGTAGGCGACTGGATAAACACACTGCGACACATTCATACAGTGGAATATTGAGTGATAAAATGAACTTGTTGAGGAACGTAAGTGACTCCTTCCTAAAGCTAATCTGCCATCTTGACATCTAGGTGAACCCAGACCCATGACTCTCTCCCCTACCCCAGGGTGAGCTCTGAAATACATACACAGAGCTCCAAGCTGATCACAGGACTCCCATTAATTCTCTCTCTGGGCCAGGCGCCCTCAATGTTTCTCTTACCTCACCTGTCCGCTTTGATCAACCACGCATCTCACTACTTTTAGAATTGGGAGGGAGAAAGGTGTGAGGATCCATTGGTCTTGTTGCCACCTGAGACTGTTTCCTGTATGTAAGTTCCCCACTAAACTCTCTAAACTGACAAACTGGACTTGTCTGCCTCATTCTTTAGCTTATGTGGCCCTTCGGAATCTGGGGGCCACTTTGCATACATGGTCCTTCCACAAAACAGCTATCAAGCCACTAAAAGACATGGAGGAGGGGCTGCCAGTTAGCTCAGGTGATAGAGCACAAGCTGATAACCCCAAGATTGCCGGTTCAATTCCCACATGGGCCAATGAGCTGTGCCCTCCACAATTAAATTGAGAACAGTTTATTTTATTTATTTATTTTTAGCTCAGCCATCCTGCCACCTGTTGGCAGCTCAGCGGCAGCTCAGCTCAGGCCAGACTCAAACCGCTGTTGCTCAGAGCTCAAACCCTTGAGCGAGCTCTTAACCAACTGAGCCACTCAGCTGGCCCTCAAAATTAGATTAAAACAACTACTTGACTTGGAGCTGATGGGTCCTGGAAAAACACACCTTTCCCCAATAAAATTTCTTTAATAAAAACAAAAAAGACATGGAGGAAACTTAAATGCATATTGCTAAGTGAAAGAAACCAATCTGAAAAGCTACATACTGTATGATCCAAAGTATGTGCTAGCCTGGAAAAAGGAAAACTATGGAGATAGGAAAAAGATCAGTGGTTGCCAGGGATGGAGGGGAGAGAGGGAGTAAGGAAGGAAAGAATAGGTGGAGCATGGGAGTTTTAGAAAGAAACTATTCTGTATGATAGTGTAATGGTGTCATGGTACATAAATGTGATTATACATTTGTCAAAGCCCATAGATTGTACAACACAGAGAGTCAATCTTAATGTAAACTATGGACTTCGTCAATATATTAATATTATCTCATCAGTTGTAACAAATGTAAGATGTTAACAGAAACTGGGAGAGTGTGAAGGGGTTTATGGGAACTGTCTGTACTACTCAAAAATATAATAGTCTGTTAGTTTAAAAACAAAGGTTAGTTCAGCTTGCAGTTTCATTCCACAAATGCTTTTTCTTAGAACAACTGTGAAACAACCATCACACTTGGGTATGCAGAAGTGCTGTATGCACATTTCCCATTTCTTCAAACAAAATAGTAAAAAGATGTGTACTCTAGTGTCAAGAGTTAATAAAATTAATAATTTGTACTGCTTCTTTAGGGCATTCTTAATTGAAAATGGCATTTTTAAAAATTGCAAGTGCATGGCAGGAAGGAATGAAATAACTACTACTACAGCTTGGTGTCACTGTCTCATTCTGCTAAGTTGGCAACAGTTTTACCCACCATTGCTTTTGCATCATCAGTGCAAATGTCAACACAGTTAAAAAGGCAAATAACATCTCAGTATTGTTATAGAAGTAGTTTTGTCCTTGCCTCAAGGGGTTCATGTACCATGTGCTGAGAATCACTATCCTAAAGGAAAATAATGGCAGGGGTAGATGTAAACATAAGGATTACTGGGGACAGATGTGTTTGGCAGGTGGAATCACTGGGCTAACAGTGTTCTTGCTGTTGAGAGTCTGGCCTACGACTAGTTCATCCTGACAGGCAACGAGAGACAAGTCACTTTGGAAGCCATAAATCTATTTAGGGGATGGATGTTTTAATTCACTGTCAAACCGCAGTCCAGATGAATTTAGTGTAGGTTGGAAGTTTGGGCTAGCGCTTCAAGGACCACTCAAAATTAGATGGTTCCATTAAGTTCAGCATTTATGGTCCGTAATGTACCAACAACTGGACAAACTACACAAGAGAAAACAAATTATTAAGTTGTGGCCTCTGTCCTATAGGAGTTTAAGGGTATGGAAACAATAATAAAATATAGAAATAGAATAATAATAATAATAGAATGTAGAAAGTATTAAATGAAAGTATTAAATGGTAGCACTGAGAAAGACATGAACTATGGCTGGAAAAATCAGGAAAGTTTTTTTAAAAAACAGCTGGGCTCTGAATGATGAGTACAATTTTGAAAGGAGACAGGGAAATCAAAAGTTCTTCATAGGGGCCTGTCGAGTGGCTCAGTTGGTTAAGAGCTCTGAGCAACAGCGCCGCTGGTTTGATTCCCACACGGGCCAGTGGCACTGCGCCCGAGTTGAGCTGTCGCTGAGCTTCCAACAGGTGGCAGGATGGCCCAGCTGGTGTAACAACAAGATTGCCTGTTTGATGGTGGGCTATGCCCACCTGCAACTAAGACTGAACTTGACACCTTGAGCTGAGCTGCCACCCGGATGGCTCAGTGGATAGAGCATGCACTCTTAACAACAAGGCTGCTGGTTCGACTCTCACATGGGATGGTGGTTACACCCACCTGCAACTAAGATTGAACACAGCACCTTGAGCTTAGAGGCCACGAGCTGGCCCCCAGGGAAGCCAGATGGCGACTGGAGCCCTCCACAACGAAGATTGAAGAAAAACAACTTGGCTGGTCCCCTTCCCCAATTCCCCAACACTGTTCCCCTCCCCCAATTCCCCAATAAAATCTTTTTTAAAAAAGTTCTTAATAGTCTTGGGGGAACTGAGAACATTCTGGGTAAGAGAAATATAGCTAATAAATGAGCACGTCTCATCCCATGATTTTAACTTGTTTTTGTTCAGGGGTTGATCTCCAGCTTACTCTATCAAGACCAATATACAAAGACTCATGGCATTTAGCATTCATTTAGCCATAAAATAATCCAAAATTTAGGAAAGAAATTTCTTCATGGATTGTTTCTAATAAAAATTGTTTTTCTGTCTGCACTGTGGAGAAAGAAGTCCTCTTTCAGATCTTTCAATTCAGTACTCCAACATTTAGTGAGTGCCCACTATGTGCAAGGTATATGTTATTTTCTATGAGGGGTACCAAAATAAAGACAGCCCCAGCTTTCACAGAATTTAGAATCTCGGAGGAGTCAAATATGTATGCAGTTAATGGCAAAGCATATTGTAGATTCTATAAAAGATAAAATGTTGATGGAGATGAGAAGAAAGAAGTTAACTTCAGTGGGGGAATCTGGAAGGCTTCTTCGAAGCAATGTCTTAAATACAAATAGACTTTCCGTGGACAGTGATGAGTGAACCAGAATATTCAGTCATCATGAGAAAGGTCCACTTGAGCAAAGATATAGAAGGGGATGGTGTGTTTGGGGAAGGGTTTGTAATTTGATTATGACTGGGGTCTGGGCGGTGAGTCACAGGGGAGATAAGGTAGGAAAAGCATGTTGAGAACAGTCTTGGAATGCCAAGCTTTGGAGTTTGGGTTTTACCCTGCAGGGTGGAGTTCCTCAAATCTTTGTTTTGGAAAGATAACAAGTGGAATGGAGGAGAAAAGAAAAGGTCAGTTTGGAGGTGGATGGAATTGTCCAGAGAAGAGATCATGCTAGCATTACCCAGGAAGCAAGAGCTGGAAAGGAAGGGGGGAACATGAGAGACACGACCAAGATGGAATCAAGACTTAGTGATATCCCATTACATGTGTAGGATGGCTTAGGGACTCCTAGCTTGGGAAACTGGTAGACTGGGAGTACTTCCTACCCAGGAGGAAGAATATGCGAAAAAGATAAATGGGTTGGTTTGGCTATTGGAAGTGTCTATGGATTGTCCAGTGCATTGGAGAGGCAGCAATGGCAATTGAGAGAGAGGTCAGGACTGGAGATACAGATTTAGGGATTCTCCATAAATGGCTGTCGAAACCATAAAGGTATTGCACTTCCCCAGGGAGATAGGGTTTCTCAACCTTGGCACTATTGACGATTTGGTCTGTATAATTTTTTGTTGGAGGGAGAGTGTCCTTTCCATTGTAGGAAGTTTAGCATTCTTGGCCTCTAGCGATTAGATGCCAGTAGCACAAACCACCCTCCACCCCCAACAGTTGTGACAACTAAAAATGTCTCTAGACATTGTCAAATGCCCCCTGGAGGGCAAAATCAACCCAGTAGGGAACTGTTGCTCTAGGAGAGAGTGCAAAGTCAGAAGAGAAGATGGCCAAGGGCAGAACCTTTGGGTTCTGTCAAACCTAATGTTGTTAGAGAGTGGTCCCTTCTCAGCGCAAAGTCCAGGTCCTTGGCAACCCGAGCAAAGAATTGAATGAGATGCTGGAGTAAAGTAACTGAAAAAGTAGTTTATTCGAAGAGATAGTACATTTCAAAGAGTTTGGAGCGGGCCACGTACAAAGGCAAGGCTCAAAAGGCTCAAAAAAGGGAGGAAGGGTTTCAAAAAGGGAAGAAGCGGTAAAAAAGAGCTGCTAGCAGGGTGGACTTCCTAGGACTTGGAGTTTTTATCCCCTTTTTCTAGAATGGGCTGTTCCCCTATGGGCGTGAGACCACTTGATTGGCACCTGTGATTGACAAGAGATACTGCACAGGAACTAGAGACTGGGCTGATCTAGTTGGGTATTTTGTGCCCATTTGTTATCCCACAGGGGTAGGTAATGACAACACAAAGGGGCCATGCAGAAATGCAGAGACCCAATGTCTGCCTCTAACTGCCTGCCTTGTTTTCCCCTTGAGAGACGTGATCCCCATAAAATCTCTATGGGAAGCTGGGGGACAGGAGGTCGCTTCTTCTGTATCTGCTTCCTGCTGGGCAGGGGCGTAGAGCTGTCCTTGCCTATTAGGGGATTCACGGAACTCTCACCCTAGCTGATCTCAGATGAGAAGAAGGGGTCTCGAGTTCCACCTGGAAGACTGTGTTGGCTTCTTTGGTTGTGACTGGCAATCTTGTTGGGGTGTCCTCTGTATCCCCAAGGTCCCTGAATGAGGAAAAATAGATTTTAATTAATAAATCTGTTAGCTCTCATGAAGCCTGTGGCCATTCATCCTGTCACTCAGGTAGAGTCAATTGTCTGGGCCCAGAATGGGTTTGGCATTTAGCTTACTGGCCTGGGGGATATGAGGAAGTCACAGGCTTTCAAGTAGCTATCTGAAGCAAGGGTAGGAGACTTCTGTTGTTTAGGATTCAGAAGCAGAGGGATAGGAGAATTCTATGATTCAGGTTAGGAGCAATCTTTAGTCTAGGATTCACAAACTGGTTAGAAAAGTAATCAAAGCCAAGAGCTAAGGAACTAAGAAACTAGGGAGGAGACTTAACATTTCTATACTTAACATTTCTATAGGAAAGAAAACTTAAAAGTTTCTCAGTGGTGGGGGTGCTGCTCAGTTGGCCAGTAACACTAAGGGCACTGTCAAAAAGGAAGAGAGCACATTGGAAGAGGTGGAGGTGATTCTGTCACAGATGGGGTGCCCAGTAGGGAAAAACAGGGGTTTGGAGACAAAAGAGGCTTTCGCAGTGGTAGCACTCTATGATCCTTCAAGGAGCAATTCCGATTGAGCTTCCTGAATGTGCCTTTTCCTTGTTTTCTAGCCTTTTCCCTGAAAGGTACAGGGATAAACTGCCCAATTGGGTCATAAATAAGAAGACTGGGATATATACCAATGTACCCCAAGGTTTCCCTGATTGTTTTGCAGGCTGTTAATATTTCTCTTCCCCTATTTTCTGTATTGGTTTTCTTTTTCACTTGTAAAGTGCTTTAGCAGAAATATAGAAATTATACCCATGTCATTTAATCCCAATAATAACCCTGCAAAGCAGCTTTCATTCTTATTTCCGTTTTGCAGTTGAGAAAACTAAAGCTCCCGGGAGGGAGTGGCCTGCCCAAGGCTACACAGCCAGGCAGTAGAAGAGCTGATACCCAGAATCCCCTGATCACACGGGGACTGAGAACACTGTTCATCACACCACATTGCTTCCTTGGCTGCAGCTCCCACCACTTAGATTTTTTCCTGACAAAGTTACTGACATTCCATTTCTCCTGGGATAGAATCTTCCTTGACTCTAGAGGAATCAATGACTTTTGTTTCTTGTCTTGTACCCTGCCTCTAGTATCATTTCTGCTCATAGCCTATGTATGGTGCAGTGCCTTACTGAATGTCTCACATTGTGAGGGTGTTAGCAAGGTGGTCTTCTGGCAAAGGGTAACATTGTAATGTTTGCACAGGTGAGGCCAAGCCTGCAGTCATTCTGCATGGTGAAGATGAGAGTGAACAGGTCTCAGGCCCAACTATGGGCACTTTGGAATCTCCCTGACAGTTGCTGAGTCTAGGCCAAGACTCAGCTCCCTCAGGACACCAATGTATGTCCTAGGCTGGCAGTGGCATACCAGACCCCAGTAACTCCTCAAGTATCGTAACCCTGATTCCCACTCTGGGACTGCTCCTCACTGCTTCCTGCTCCCCTCAGACACCCTACTCTGGCCTTTGGTTTCTTGGCAACTCTCATGTTCCTCTACCTACCACCTCACTTAGCACCTGAAACTCTTAATAATAGTAATCACCATAGCCACCATTTACTGAGGGTTTTCTAAGTGTCAGGCACAGAAAATGAGGTAACTGAGGCTTGGCAATGGTATGGAAGTTTGTCCAAGGTGACATAAGTATTAAGGTATAGATCAGCATGTCTAATAGAAATATAATTTGTGTCACTTTTGTAATTTAAAACTTTCTACTAGCCAAATTAAAGAGAAAGGAAACAGGTAAAATTAATTTTATCAATATATATTTTTTAATTTAACTCAATACCAGGGGTGCCAAAAAAATGTATACACATGTATTCATCTTTTGTTATCGGTAAATATTGAGTATTACAATTTTAATACAGTTTTTTCCTTTCTTAACATGTATATACATTTTTTTGGCACCCTCTCTATAGCCAAAACATTAATTGACATGCAATCAACATACAAAATTACCAATGGGATATTTATGTTCCTTTTTTCATAGTAAGTCTTTGAAATCCAGTGTGTATTTTGCTCTTACATCACATCTCAATTCAGACACATTTCAAGTGCTCAAGAGCTATATGTGGCCAGTGGCTGCTGTGCTGGACAGCACAAATGTAGATTAAGATTTCTGACCCACCTCCATTTGGCCACATTGTAGCCTTTCTAAGGATGGTGAAGAGTGGGGCAGCCACATTCTCTGTGAAAGCAAGCTGGTTTTGTCCACCGAAATTCAGGCCTGTAAAACATAATAATCTTATCTAATTGGGGATAAGATTTCATTATAAATTAGAATAAAGTGTCTCAAGATGCTACAGAGGCCCAACATTTATTAGACCTTTTAAAAAGTATTTGTTAGAAAGGCTGACATTTTCCCCTTGGAACTGTTACTTCTGGGATGGATCAGGTATGTTTCTCTCTTTCTGCATGTCCCTGTTATTGTTCTGTCTTGATAAACATTATACCATCTGGAAAGAGTGAATTTTCTCTGGCCTAGAGCTAGATTGGTGAAAAAAATCCTTCACCTGGGCCTCCTCTCTGTTCCACAGGACAGTCCTCTCATCTTTTTTTGATGGGGCTCACTAACCCTAGTAGTGTGGCCCCTGAGGGAAATGCAAGATTGTTGAACTCTGGAAGGAAAGGAGGAGTTGGGGCGCCATCATTTTCTGATTCACACAGTGGACAGTCCTTCATTCCAGGCACTGTGCTAGGCACATTGCAGGTGCTTTCCTTTTACTCCTCACCATCGCTCTCTGAGGTCTCCCTAGAGCAGCAGTTCTCAACTTTCCTAATGCCGCAACCCCTTAATACAGTTCCTCATGTTGTGGTGACCCCCAACCATAAAATTATTTTCATTGCTACTCTATAACTGTAATTTTGCTACTGTTATGAATCGTAATGTAAATATCTTTTTTGTTTTCCGATGGTCTTAGGCGACCCCTGTGAAAGGGTCGTTCGACCCCCAAAGGGGTCGCGACCCACAGGTTGAGAACCGCTGCCCTAGAGCCTGCAAAACCCAAAGAGGTGAAGAGGTTCACACAGGGTCACCCAGAGAGTAACCCAGAGCTTCTGACACCTGAGCCCCAGGATCACAGCATTCCAGACTTTGGGGGATTACTGCTTTCTCCCCACCCACGGACTTGGAAGCAAAGATTGGCCAGCAAACTGTTCATATCTCCTTTCTTCTTCCATGTGAGCTAGGCCTGGCAGGGTGCTTACAGTTGAGTTCAGTCTGTAAAAATTGGGGTCAGATATTCAGGACATAAAAAAAGAGACAGGTGCCCTTTCTATATCAGGAGATCCAGCCTCAGGAAACCTGGGAGGGGTATTTCCTCTTTCTTTTCTGGTTCCTGACGAGTTAGAAGACTTGGGGTGCCGGGGAGCCCTGTTGCTTTAAGTCTAAGCCCTGTTTTGGGAGGAGACTGGGAGGGCGGTGGAGGGTGCCCGCCTACCTGGGGGAACCCGCGTAAGGTGTGGCTGGATCAGCTTGGGATGCGAGGTGAGCAAGGGGCGGGCTGAAAGTTGGAGCAAGCAGGAAGTGAACCGAGGGCCGCCCCGGGAGGAAACAGACTAGGCGAATTCTGCTTCTGACAGGCCTGAGCCGCTGAGACATGGTGAGTGAGCTGGGAACTAGGAAGGGGTTGATTTACAGACGAGCCAGAGGGGCTGGGGATCCGGAAAGGGGAGCTGGTGGCAAGTCCGAGGGCGGGGGCAGCGCTGACTGTGGCCTCTCTTTGACAACTAGCTACAAGTAGCTCTGAGCTGCCCAAGCTGGTGTTCCTGCCACTTCTCTACTCCCTTCCTCCCGTGACCTCTCTGCTGGCCTGGAGCGGGGCTTCGGTGGGGGTGGAGGATCTGAATTCCAGGCAAGGAGTTGCCGAGAGGCCCTTCATCGCCTCCTCCAGCCCTCCCCCCTCGGCCAGCTGGGTGTTGTAAAATTCCTAGGCAGCGCCTCTACTGTTCCTAGCGCGGATTCCAGCCCAGCGGCTGGAGCTCTCCCCGTCTGCCTTTCACTTCAGCCCTGTAGCGAAACCTAAAGTTTCTCTCTCCACGGAGTCCAAGGAATTTGTCTCTTCACCGAGTCCAAGGAATTGGCCTCCTTTCCCTAAAGTTGAGGAAGAGCCAAGAGTTTGTAAAAGAACCAGAAGTTGGCTCTCTGTGACAATTTACTTTGGCCCCACGCCCTAGCCCGTTTCTGGAGATCCAGTGGATCAGGGAAGGGAGGAACTTAGGAACGTTTTTCCCTCCGTGTTCAAAAACCTTACGAAGTCTCCGGTTGAGGCATTAATCAGGGAGGACTTGCACTCCATTTTCCCCCAACGCCCAGGCTGCTGTTTTTATTTTAATATCTGCTTAAGTGGCGATGGTTTGGTGCCCACGCATGGTGCTAAGCGGGGCTGGGAAAGCAGAAGTTTGTGGCCCAACGGCTCTCTCTCATGGGGCCTTGTGAGGGACTTGGAGCCTAGCTGCTGGTGCTCTGGGTCCCAGAAATTAGGCTGCCCTAGAGGCCCTGGCAGACGCGGCTCTCCAGCTGCTGTCTTCTAGAGACAGAGGGTTGGGCCAGGTGAGGGGGGTTCTACTGGCCAGCACAGACATTTTCAGTGAGGACCCTGTGGGATCTGGAAATTGGTAAATAGTGGTGGGGTTCTGCGTTGTGAGATGCAGCTCAGCTGTCCCTCTTTGAGGAGCAAGGAAGCAGAGGAGAGGGATTTGGGGGTGTGCTTCTTTTCCTTGTCAGGGACCCTGAGAATCTGAAAAACAGTTTGATCTCGTCTAGCATCAGGAGCTTAAGAATGCATTTGTTTTTTATTTCATGAGTCGTCCATGAAGACATTCTCTTTGTAAACAGTTCAAGCATTACAAAAAGCGAAAGTCTACCTTATCCCTTCCCCTCCTTTAAGCTCTGATGCTGTCTCTGTTCTTCCACATTTGGCCTAATTAACCCCTGTGTTGCTGCCCAGGAGGAGGCCAGTGGAGGTGGAGGAAATGACCAAGTGCGGAACCTGCAGAATGAGGTGGAGGGAGTCAAGAATATTATGACCCAGAATGTGGAGCGGATTCTGGCCCGAGGAGAAAACTTGGACCATCTCCGCAATAAGACAGAGGATCTGGAAGCCACAGTGAGATGGGAAGCCCACGGGGCAAGAGGAAGAGAGGGGGGGAGGGGGGATCTTTGGGGATTTGGGGGTTGGTGGTGTTGGGAGCAAAATGAGCAGGCGGGAAATCTGCCTCTTTACCCGTTCTGGGGATTGATGTGAGCTGAGTCCCCACTTATCCTGTTCTACTCCACTGATTGGTACTGGGTTCCAGGGAATGAGTCCAATGACTGGGGTTGGGGGGCGGGGGCTGACCCATGGAGGCCTTTTTCGAGACAGAGAGATGGTGTAGTGAACTCAGGCATTCTTAGGTTTCTCTCCTGTGAAACGGATTTTCCCTTTGAAGGCTGCCCTTGACAGTCATTTGAACATAACCTCCCCAGGGCAAAATATTGGCTCTGGAAAATCCTCTGAGGGCCTTTGGCCTTCTCCAGGAGTTATAAGGCAGGGGGTGGAAAACTGCTAGAGTCTTGCTGAGTCAGCTTAAAAAAAAAAAGCTGGGAAGAGCAGTGAAATTCTTTGATGGAGTCATCTGCTTGCTGAAGGCTAGAATAATATCTCCCGCACATCTTGCTAGACCTCATTCTTCCCTCTGTCCACTCAGGGGCCGAAGCCAGCTGCTCAGGGAGGGAGTAACTCTAAAGTTCAACAAAGGCTGCAGCCTAAGGTCCCCCTGTCCACAGGGAGACGCTGGATGCAGCTTTCTGAGTCCTGTGTGTAATCTTGGGTGTAGCTCCTTTGTTTCCCTGGGACTTATGCTTCTTTCCACAGCCTAACCTGGGGAGCATGGCTGAGTGAAACATAGTTTCTGCAACTGCAGTTTAGAGAGGAAAAGCACTTTCTTTCACTTCCAACCACCTTATCGCCCAGATCCCTCCCCCAACTTCAGCAGTCCCCATTGGACCAGGAATCCTGGAACCAGGAGACTGTTGGGGACTGACTGGACCCTGGAACCTGTCCCCCTCAGCCCCAGTGTCTGCCCTTCTAAGGGCAAATTGTGCTGCCAATGTTACACCCCTGGGTGTGAGCATGTGGAAAAGGCTTCTCAGTGTGCATGACAGTGCAGGGGAGAGAAGAGAAGGCAGGGGGCCAAGGGGAGCCCAAGAATTCTAAATTTAAACCTGGCCCACCAGATGGTTATGAAGGTATATTTGTCAAGGTAGGAAGACAGGACATTTCTATTTAACAGTCTATTGCCTCAACTTATCACTTAAATATTTAGATGTATGGCATGTGGGCCTCTGTTTGTACTCTTGTTCCAGTGAGAGGAGGCACTGAGTCACTCTACCTTATCCCCTACAGTCAGAGCACTTCAAGACAACATCGCAGAAGGTGGCTCGGAAGTTCTGGTGGAAGAACGTGAAGATGATTGTCATCATCTGCGTGATTGTTTTTATCATCATCCTCTTCATTGTGCTCTTTGCCACTAATGTCATCCCCTAAGTAACTTAGGGAACCCTTCTCACCCTGCCCTCCTCTTCGGGTTTACCCTCCATGGTGGTCACCAGGAGGGGCCCTCTTTCCTGTCCTTCTCCACAGGGAAGCTGCTCAGTCCTCCAGCCCCTGACTCTGAGGCCCCTCTACCAATTGTCTGCCCCAGGGAGTACCTTTGTCCCCCCCCCCCCCCCAAAGGAGAGAGCTGGACTGTGGCTGCATTTCACGGGTCCTCAGAGTTGGTTGGAGAGACCCAGAGGGCCCAGCATGTGGCTGGGACACTGACAGTGGCTGGTAGGCAATAAAGAACCTTCAGTATCCCTAAGTTTGTGAGGTGCTTTCTCCCTTTGCATTTGACCTTTGGCCGTTATCTCCTTGAGGACAAGATTCTCCCAGTTGCAGCCCAAGTTGTTGAAGGGGTGGAGAGCAGAGGTTTAGAGAAGAAAGACAGAGCCTTCCTATCTTTCTTTATTCCCCCTTGTTCCATTCATTGTCACAGGTCTCAAGAAGAAGAATTTTCTGGGAGTCTTGGCATATGGAAAATTCAAAATCTTTATTTTAGGGTGGTATGCAAGATTTCTAAGTGTCCCCCTTGGGTTTTGCCATGTCCCTTTATTACATTTCTGCTGGCAACATTAACCGAGATTTAAGGCCTACCCGGGCCAAACATTTAGAATCCTGGTTAAGGGCCTCCTGCCTCTCATTGTCATCTCTCTTCTGTGGCCCTGTTGTTGTCTAGAGCAGGGGGTTAGAGGAACTGTTTTGCTTTTCATTCGCTTATGGTTCAGCAGATTCTATTTGTCTTTTGTCTGCTTCTGCCCTTTCGGGACTTAGCAGGGCCTCTGGGTCTCAGCTGTCCTCGGGGCGAGCAACTCTCTCCCATGTCCCATGGCTGGGCACAGTCAGTATCATAGGACAGGGCCTATGGCCTCCTTTCCCTCCAGGTACAGTGGGACTTTCTGTCTTTGAGCCTCCCTCCTTCCCACCAGGTTCTGCCATCATTGTCACCCTTTTTTTTTTTTTTTAAATTGGAGAACAGTGTGTTTTTCCAGGACCCATCAGCTCCAAGTCAAGCAGTAGTCTTCAACCTAGTTGTGGAGAGCGCAGCTCGGTGGCCCATGCGGGGATTGAACCAGCAACCTTGGTGTTATGAGCACTGTGCTCTAACCACCTGAGCTAACCGGCCGCCCCGAGCATTGTCATTCTTCACAGTGCCCAGTCTGCCTTGGTTTGGGGGAAGGGTTCTTGCCATCTCTGCCTGTCCCTATTTCCCACATAGGCTTTCCAGAATTGAAAACAACCTGTTTTGGGGAGGGAGTGGGGAAGGGGGGGTGGGGTTCAGAAACAGGATTTGGGACTAATGGTGGCAAGTCAAGTTCTGGAATTGTGCTCGAAAAAGTAGGGAGGGAGGAAGAAAGTAGAGACAAGACTCTGGGTGGTCTCTGCCATGACTATGTCCATTGACTCCTCAGTCTACTCCCAGACTCCAGGGCCAAGGAACCGGGTCGAAACCTCCTTGGGACCCAGACCATCCAGGGTGGGGGTGAGGTCCATGCTCACAGGGACTCAATTCCAGGGAGGGAAGCCCTCACCCCCCTTCCTCAAGAGGGCCGCATTTGAGATGTTGGTGGCATGGGGTGGGGTGGAGAACAGAGGGCTGGTGACTTCTTTGCAGCAGTGACAGGAGAGGATGAGGATGGGCAGATTCAGCTCAGGAAGGTTCTGGAAGGGCTGTAGACACTCCAGCTTCACCCTTCCTCTGAATGAGGAGCAGGGTTATATCAGGGCAGGGCCCCACTTGCCTTCCTTCAGAAAAGGGAAATGCAAAAAAGCTAGAGCTGGCAACTTCTCCATGACAGTCTGTTTTCTTTTTTAGCTGAGGTGAAATTCACATACCACACAATTGACCATATTCTTTTATTATTATTATTTTTTTAATTTTAATTTTTTAAAAAGATTTTATTGGGGAACTGGGGGAAGGGAACAGCACTGGGGAACCCGGGAAGGGGAACAGACAAGCCGCTGTCCCCCTGCTCCTCAGTCCAGCTGCGGAGGACGTGGCCCCACTGACCCATGTTGGCACCATCATTGCGCTCTTCCCTGGTGAAGCAGATAGGTCGCTGGCCACTGGATTGCCACACAGGCGGCTCCCGGCAGCCCACGCAGACCGCCGGCCGCTCATGCAGGTTGTCAGCCACCCATGGCATCACACCGCAGCCTCACCGCAGCCTACGCTGTCGCCACAGCAGCCCCGCTCCAGGTCGAGTTGTTGCCCACCATTCCAGCCCCAGAGGGCATAGGGTCACCGGCCCTCATGTGGGATCCTCTGCCCAGAGCCGGTGTCCCAAGCCAACTCTTAACCAACGCACCACTCAGCCGGCCCTACAACTGACCATTTAAAAATGTACAATTCAGTGGCAGGTAGTGCATTCACAATGTTTATTGTGAATAAACTTTCTTTAGTTTCAGAACTTTCTTTCTTTTGTGGGGAGGGGTTTTTAAATATGGTTGAAATACACTTACTAAGGTGGCAAAGACCCTGCCTGGCTGTTCAAGCTGTCTCCAGTGCCTAGCACACTGCCAGACAATAGTGCTCATACAGACGTTTGTTGAATGAATGAATGAATCATACCTCCCCAGGTAAGCCCGATCTACCTGATCTTGGATGAAGCCACAGAGGCCTCTCTGAGCCCACTCCAGAGCTCACTCCACTGTGCCCGTTTCATAGATTGGGCCCCAAGGTATCGCCTGCTTGCAGACCTGGTCCCAGGCTGCTTAGGCGTAGTAGACCCTATTTACGAGGCTGGAGTCATATGAAACTGGGCGCTGGCAGCCAGGGAGGAGGCGCTCCAAGGACCCCGGTCGCTGTTGGCCATCCGCTTTCGATTTGAACTTGGCCTCAGTTGCAGCTAGAAAGAGCGCACCCCCAGTCCCCGCCCTGCCCCGCCCCTCTGCTTCCTCCTGGGCTCAGGCACCCGGGACCCGCCGTTCTGCGTGCAGAGGAGCCGGAGCAGGCCAAGCGGCAACCGCGATGGTGAGGACCCTGGCGGGGCGGGGCGGAGTGGCCGGGAGGTGGGCAGAGGGCAAGCAAAGGGCTGCGAGACAGGATTCCAAAGTCCGAGGGCCTGGGCGCCCTCCAGGACGGGCGCCTGTGCTCCGGCGAGGTGACAGCTCCAGGAGCAGGGACGGGGCCAGACCCTTCTCCACTCCCGGCGCGGCTGGGGAGAGAAAGTGTGGCGTGTGCCCCGTCCAGGCTGCCCTGTGCCCAGCGATCAGGACTCGCTTCCACTTCGTTGAATCAAGTAGTTACGAGAACCGGCACCCAAGTCAGACTGAGATCCTGAATTACGTAGTGACCACTTACTGGCTCTGTGACCCTCGGGGAGTCACTTAACCTCCTTGAGTCCCCTTTTCCGCATCTGTGAAGTGGGGTCAGCAATAACTGCCTTTCTGGGTCCATGTGAGGTTAAAGGAGATACAATGGCAGAGACCTGCCTGGCACTCAGAACCTGCTGCTGAGAAGTGGTAGGTAATGTGATGATGACCTCTTCAGCCTTTTCTGGGGCTGTTAGTAGCCAAGCCTGGCGGGGGAGTTGGAAACCTGAGAGGATGGGGTGGTGGAGGCTGAGCCAGCCCATAACAGTGTTTTGGAGGAGAAAGAGAAAGGAAGATTTTTACTATAAAATTTCCACTGAAGTTATCAGAGTGTGGCATAGGCCTGACTCCATTCTAACCCCTATCTAGGGACATATTCCTGAGCTGAGTCATCCCCTGCTCCTGCTTTAGACTCTGGCCTCTCTCTGCCTCTACTTGTCATCTCCAAGGCAAAGGTGTTAGGAACAAGTGGTACCAGTTGCTTTCCCTCCTC